TTAACAGAGTTACCCCCACACCGAGAAGTAGAGTTTGTTATTGATTTGATGCCTAGTACTACACCAATTTCTATTGCATCGTATCGTATGGCACCAATTGAATTGGAAGAATTAAAGAAGCAGCTTGACGAACTGAGGGTGAAAGGCTTCATTCGACCTAGCGTGTCACCGTGGGGCGCACCAGTTTTGTTCGCTAAAAAGAAAGATGGTTCTTTGAGGTTGTGCATTGATTACCGGAAGTTGAATCATGCCACCATCAAGAACAAGTATCCTTTGCCAAGGATAGATGATATGTTTGACCAATTAAGGGGAGCCGGTTGTTTCTTGAAGATTGACTTAAGGTCAGGTTACTACCAGTTGTGAGTTAGGGATGAGGATATCCCAAAGACAGCGTTCCGTACACGGTATGGACGTTATGAGTTATTCGTTATGCCTGGCATTTATGGATCTAATAAACCGCGTCTTCCACGATTACTTAGATCAGTTTGTGGTAGTTTTCGTGGATGACATTCTTGTGTATTTACGGACTCGGGAGGAACACGAGGTCCATTTGAGTATAGTGTTGCAGATTCTACGGGAACACCGTTTGTATGCCAAATATGAAAAGTGTGAGTTTTGGCTACAAGAGGTGAAGTTTTTGGGACATGTTATCTCTGAAGGTAGGGTTCAATTAATCCTTCAAAGATAGAGGCAGTTCTGAATTGGGAATAATCTAAGAATGTCTTTAAAATCCGGAGTTTCCTTGGTCTAGCGGGTTATTATCAGAGATTTATGAAGGATTTTTCCCATTTGGCAGCTCCTATGAGCAGATTGACCCGGAAAGGGATCAAGTTTGCATAGAATGAGGCCTGTGAGTCATCATTTCAAGAGTTGAAAACAAGGTTGACTACGGCTTCAGTGTTGGTGATACCCGAGCGTGGCTTGGGTTATGTGATCTATTATGACACCTCACGTGATGGTTTGGGTTGTGTACTAATGCAGGATGGTATAGTAGTGGCTTATGGGTCTCGACAGTTGAAGACTCACGAGCTTAACTACCCTACTCATGACTTGGAGTTAACGGCAATCGTGTTTGCTTTGAAGTGTTGGAGACACTATTTATATGGTGAGAGATTTGAGGTATTCTTGGACCACAAGAGTCTCAAGTACCTTTTTCTCCCAAAAGGACTTGAACAACAAACAAAGGCGATGGGTTGAGTTTTTGGAAGACTACAACTTTGATTTGCAGTATCATCCGGGTAAAGCAAATATGGTAGTTGATGCTTTAAGCCAAAAATCTCGTGGGAATTTGGCTAGTTTAGCCATTCGAAAGTGGAAGATGCTTGAAGATTTGGCTGAAATGGGATTGTATTGCTTTGATGATGCTGGTGACAGTGAGTCAGCATTCTTGTTTAGTCTCGTGGCTCAGCCCACTCTTGTCAGACAGGTGATTGAGTTACAGAGACAGGATTCGGATTTGGATGCCATTTACACTTTGATCTCCAGTGGCGAGACTGTGAAGGATTGGACCTTACATGCAGTTAGAGGTATACGGTTCAGGGGTTTGTTGGTTGTTCCCACAATTTATCGTGAGGACGTTTTACGAGAATTTCACACTTCCGCTTTGTAATTCATCCAGGTGGTACCAAAATGTATCACAATCTAAAACATCAGTATTGGTGAAATGAAATGAAGAAGGACGTTGCACAGTTTGTGGCTAAGTGACTTATCTGTTAGCAGGTGAAGGCTGAGCACCATAGACCAGTTGGTTTATTGCAACCATTGCCGGTAGCGCAGTGGAAATGGGAGGAGATTGTAATGCATTTTGTGACAGATCTTCCTAGGTCACGGAGGGGAAATGAAGCCGTATGGGGTCATTATTGATAGATTGACCAAGACGGCTCACTTCTTACCTATTAAGGCAACAGATGACGCAGAGGCACTTGGTGTACTTTATGTGACAGAGATTATAAAATTGCATGGAGTTCCAGTGGCTATTGTTTCAGATAGGGATGCCAAGTTCACTTCGAAGTTCTGGGAAGGACTTCAAGCAGTGTTTGGTTCATCATTGTACCTTAGTACGGCATTCCATCCATAGACAAACGGCCAGTCGGAGCATACCATTCAGATCTTGGAGGATACGTTTCAGACCTGTGTACTTGACTTGGGTGGTAGTTGGGAGAATCACCTTCCACTTATTGAGTTTGCCTACAACAACAGTTATCAGGCGAGTATTCAGATGGTTTCATTTGAGGCGTTGTATGGTAGACTTTCTAGGTCTCTTGTCTGTTGGACTGAGGTGGGCGAGACAGCCGTCTTAGGACCTGACATTGTACTCGAGACTACCGAGAAAATTAAGTTGATCGGGCAGAGATTGCTTACAGCTCAGAGCCGACAGAAGAGTTATGCGGATAGGCGGAGACAGCCGCTATCCTTTGAGGTGGGAGACCACGTTTTTCTTCAAGTTTCTTCACGGAAAGGGTTGATGAGGTTTGGGAAAAGTGGCAAGTTGTCGCCACGATTCATTGGACCTTTTGAGATCTTGGACCGTGTAGGAGAGGTTGTCTACAGATTAGTATTGCCACCGCAAATAGACAAGGTCCATAATGTTTTCCATGTATCAATGTTACGGAAGTACGAATCGGATCCATCTCACGTTTTGAGTTGGGTTGAGGTTGACATTGATAAGGATGTTTCCTACGAGGAGGGTTCAGTTCAGATCCTTAACACACGGCAGAAGGTGTTGAGGAAAAAGACGATACCATTGGTAAAGGTTCTTTGAAGGCATCACGGAGTTGAGGAGGCTACTTGGGAGCTCGAACAGGAAGTTCACTCCAAGTATCCAGAATTGTTTTCTCCCTTAGGTATGGCTTGATTTCGGAGATGAAATCTTTTAAAGTTGGGGAGAATGTAATGTTGTTAATTGTTTTATATATATATATAATAAATCAAAAGATTATTGGAAGTGGTGAGACCCACCACTAACCCATTTGGTGGCAAAGAAACCATAAATTGGTCTCATTTTTTCTCTCTCCCCGCAGGTTCTCTCTTCCCCTCACATTTCATCATCTTCATCTTTTTTTTTTTTTTTTTTTTTTCTCTCTCTCTCTTGAAAGCAAACTTCAATCTCAAATTTCTTTCTCACCTTTTGGAATTTTTGGAAGCCGTTTGCGGTAAAACGGAGAGCACGACGAGATTTACGTGTGAGTACAAACAATTTCAGCTTTTGGCCTCCCTTAGGATTTCGAATTTGAGACCCATTTTGAGGGTTTTTCTACAAATTTGAGGTAGAGGTGTTCTAATGCATAAATTCTTGTACTTTTGTGAGTTTTCTTTCTTAATTTGATGTCAAGCATACTCAATTTGTATAATCTTGGCAAGGATTGTTTAGATGTTAGATATGGAACACATGACTACTTGTTAATTGTTATGTAGTGATTATATATTCCTATATGAAGTTAAATTCATGTCTTAAATGCTTACCATGTTAAATTGATGATTGATTGAAAGCATGAGTATTGTGTTTTAGAAATTTATGTGGGATAGTATGTGTAAAAATTTTTATTGTTGAGTTGATGATTTGAAGCATGGAGCATTCTTGCATCCATCGGGAAGAGAAAAGGGAAAAATGTTTTCAAAACAAAGGAAATAAATTTTAGGGAAAGTATTTCTAAAAGTGTTTGCGAAAATCGGACGCCTAAGAGGCGCCTAGTGGTCCGTGTTGTTAGTGTAGTCTAGAAGGGAGTATGGTTGAGCTAACTAGGCCGGATGCGACGCCTTGGAGGTGCCTTGTGGTCGTGGATAGTTAGTCAACCCTCCATTCGTGACGCCTTGGATGTGCTTTAGGTCGGATTACACTAACGGTTTGGAAGTTGAAACGGAAATGTTTCAGAAATGAGGAGCGACATTTGTATAATATTGCACTTCATGACATTGTGGGAAATTTGTAATTGGTTGACATTTGTTACATATTAGTTGTTCAGGTTGAAAATATGTATTCCCCATGGTATGACCCCGTTCCTTTTTACCCATTCCTTATGTGAATTCACGGGGTCATAAGAAGCGTGTCTTAGACACTTCCTACTGAGTTTATATTCACCCCATTATTTTTAACATTTTTCAGGATATAGAAAAGAGGTGGCGGATGACGATCCACCACAAGTTTAGACGAGATTGAAGATCTATTTTATTTTGTTATCTTTTGAATTAGAATTATAATATTTTGTAAGTGTAATCTTAACTATTTTGTAAAACTTAGTTTAATTGGTATAATGTTCTGAACTTTAAAATTTTTGTTATATTTATGGACTATAATTTGATATAACTAACGTGTGTTCCTTATTTGGATGAGATGGAGGAACGTGACTTTTTATATGAATGTAATCATTTTGGGAATGTGATATAATAATTGTATTGTGCGTTGAGATATGATAGGTTAGTTTTAAGCGCAGTGAGGCCATTGCATTTTTATGTATTTCAACAAGTTTTTGAGGGACTTTTTCTGCCAGGATCATGCCGAAATTTTATATATTTTATTATTATTATTTTGATACTTTTTTGGGTCGTTATAGATTTAATCAAATATCATGTCATATTATGAAAAAAATTTAGAAAAAAATTGTTGACATTTATAGATATGAACACTTCCTAAGTGTGTAAACTTCCTAACTGTGTAAACATATTTAGAAAATTGTGAATGCCAATAGCGTGCAAAACGAAATGAGTCATGACATATATGTAGAGCCAATTTTCCAAAATTTGGAGGCCGCCAAGGAGGACGCGGAATGCACTTGGTATTAGGTGATTGCATAGTATGAGAGAAGGTTGTCGGCATTTGACAACTACTTCCGAAAAAATATATATAAAATTTGATAACTTCTTACATAAATTTGGACAATTTGTGAAAAGGATTAGTATATGAGTTATTTTCAAATTATGTTTAAAGAACATTATACATAAAATACTAATAATAATAAAAATATAAAATATCCATAAAAAATAAAGATAAAATCATATAGTATCCACTTCCAACCAGTAACAAACCTACCTTTCAACTTACAAGAGAGTCGTCGTCATCTCCTTCTAACTCCTCTTTGCTGTTTGCTCCCATCGACATCGCAATCGAACTATGGCGAGCCTCTGGCATTCCATGATGGGCTCGACCCAGCCCCCGGAAGATTACGACGGCGTGGAGTTCTGGTCGAACCCAGAGCGCACTGGTTGGCTAACCAAGCAAGGCGAGTACATCAAGACCTGGCGTCGCCGCTGGTTCGTCCTCAAACAAGGCAAGCTCTTCTGGTTCAAACAATCCACCATCACCGCCGTATCCAGGCCACGTGGCGTCATCCCAGTGGCCACCTGCCTCACCGTCAAAGGCGCCGAGGACGTCCTCAACAAACAGTTCGCTTTCGAGCTCTCCACTAGCTCCGAAACTATGTACTTCATCGCCGATTCGGAGAAAGAGAAGGAGGACTGGATCAATTCAATCGGACGGTCCATCGTTCAGCATTCGAGATCCGTCACTGATAACGAAGTCGTCGATTATCAATAGAAATTGAGATCGACGGTTCTGGTTCGTTCGATTCGGTCAGTGTTTCCCGTAAAATCAGGTATATTCTTTTTCTTTTCTAAACTTATTTCGTGTTCGATCCTTGTAAGATTACCCTGTTTTTTTGTTATTATCATATCATAAATGCCTAAAATGTCGTTTCTTTCCTTTATTGTGAGGGATTGTGTTATTGAATTGAAGACCTTGTAGGGTTTTTCAATTTCTGATCTCCAAAAGATCAAGAATTTGTGTAAATTGCAGATTTTGATTTGTTTAGTAGCTGTACGGTGAATATTGCTAATTTGATGTTATAGTCCCTTTGCATTTGTTGTACCAAGAAAGTGAATGTCGAATTCTGGGTTCTATTCACCTAGTGAATGAAATTAATTGATCAAATACTGAAGTTCCATTATGCCGAGAATGGTTTTTGAGGCAAAAAGGACTGAAATACTCCGTGACTAATTTTCTTTGAAGTGATTTGGTACCTTTTCAATAAAATTTAAGAAACCATATTCATCTTAATAAACATCCTAGGTTTTATCATAAAGTTAGTCGGTAAGTGAATTGAAACCTATGTTTTTCATGGTTGTAGATATTGACGTGAGATGGTAAGCAAATCTAGAGATGTTGGGATTGTTCTTCTAATTAAGGAAGGGAAACATTTTAATGGTTTATTCAAGGTTGAAATCTCCGGAGCAGTGAGGTTTGGAGGTGGTTCTGGAGGTGTTCTTGTAGATGTTCAACATGTTCTTCAGAAAATACTGAAATGGGGAGGATATTTTTAGGCGGAAGAAGTTGGAAAATGGTATATTATTGGAAGTCATGGGCAGATTTGTTGTTGGGGTTCTTTCTTTCCCTGGAAAGGGATATTTGTGTTGAATGCTTGAAGATGACCTTTATTTTCTGGACAATGTTCAGCAAGATAGATAACTTTATACAGTGTGCAAAGCTTCAGTGGAAAGTGTTAATTACTTGATTGCGAGGTTTCTGGGAAATGGTGCCACATTTTGTTGGAATTTTGGATCCCTAGCTTGATTCGGGGTTCAATTAGATAGCCGTTGGGGAGTTAGTGAGCGGGTTGACAATAGGAGGAATAAAAAGGCCTGGCAAGGTCTCCTTTATGTGCAATGTGTAGCATCTGAAGGGAGAGAAATCAACAAACCTTTAAGGGATTGGAACTCCCTGAAATTTTCTTTGGCTTCCTAAACTCTCTGCTTTCTTGAGTTCATGTTGGTGATAAATGTCTTAACTAAATTGGAGGTACGCCCATACGTGTCTCATGTACATGATTGCAGCTTCATTTTCTTTTCGTCCCTTTGGTACATGCATACGTGTGTACGAAAGAAATCTAGGAGCCAGCTTGAAGTTTACATTAATATAAAGGAGACATGGCTAGGGATAACTCAGAAAATCACTAATGTTGTCTTCGGCTGTATGGACTTAAAATTGGTGGAATTGGAGAAAAGTTTAGTTCAAAATTACAAAAAATTCAACTAAAATTTTCTCCCATTCCAATTCCAAGACCCCAATTATATGCAGCCGAACATAGCCTAAAGATTTTCAAAGAGTCCACCTTCTTGGCTGAATCATCTGTAGAGACCTTCTTGGCTGAATCATCTGTAGAGACCTTCTTGGCTGAATCATCTGTAGAAATTAAAGACAATTATAATGTATAAAACTCAGCGTCTCTACCTTATCATGCCATATCCTATATTAAAAGATCAAATCTACTTGAAACTCATGGAGTTTATACTCAAATCCTATCCTTATTTCAGACATTATATTAGGAATCTCTTACATAAGACTTATCAAAAAAGGAATCTCTTATCTTTATTTAGGAGCAAGGATCTGAACAATATAGATATCTTTCTTATTGTTGTTCTAACAGGTTGTTTAGTATCTTTAGTTTTTCTAAAAAGGTTGACATTATTTCCACTTCCATCCAGGATTTGTAAGCCTTGCATTTTATTTCATAGCTACATGAAAAATTATCAAACTACATCAAGGCCACTCTAATTCCCGTGCATTAGCTTATAATGGTAAAAGAGGGTAACCGGAAGTTTAATAAGCATTTAGATCTTTAGACAACTGAGCCCTTTGCTTCCCAACTTGTGATTTTGAATTCCTCGTGATAGTTGGGTGCCAAATATCTAGTTCAATGGGTGGGTTTGGGGTACTAAGACCAGTGTCTTGTTGTTTGCACCCATTGGATAAACCATGATACGTTTGTTTTGCTCCCTTTATGCTTGGATGTTATGACTAAAGTTACTCCTCCGTATGGACTAAGCCCGTTGTATTCGATTAATACCCAAGATTGTCATAGATTCGTAGTCCCGTCGTAGTTAGTTTTAAGATTAAATGACAGCAGCAGTGCAGTCCACACTAGTTTGGGTTTCTAAGGCTACCTTTGTTCTTGATGCCCTAGACATTTCTTACTTATATCATAAGCCACCTGACATTATATCTGATTGATGCAGGAAGAGAAGGGAGAGACGGAAGAGAGAAGGGAAGAAAGGAAGAGAAGAATGGAAGAAAGAAAGAGGAGAAGAATGGAAGAAAGGAAGAGAAGAGATAGGTCCAAGCTATGAATTTATCAATTCATACAACAAGAACAACCATGATTTATAAAAAAAATTACAACAAGAACAATTATGAACACAATTCATGAAACCTATATTCTAGATCAATTAAAACATGGATTCTAATTTTTATTATCCTTTAAACATCCCTAAAGTTATACTAGAGATAAATAAATCACAGATATAAGGGAGACGTGTAAAACAAAGAACTTGATTCGAAAGTTAAACTCGTTCTTTCTTGTTCTTCTCATTTAATGGTCCTTCTTCTTCTTCATTCTTTCTCTATCTAGTTTTCTCTTTCTAGGTCTATTCTCTAGGTATATATATAGGTAAAATATATTACCTATTCCTCTAAACTTAACATATGACAATTTACAAACTAGGTAACTAATTTAATAAAATATTATTTTTAATGAAAATAATATAGATATATATATATATACACACCTCATTATATTTATATATAAATACTAATTTTTATGGGTCACTATTCAACTCATGTAGAATTCCATTCAAATAGTTCAATACTCATCTAGTTGGTCCATGGGTTATAATTCAAATCCTTTAAAATGAAATAAAAATAAAACTAAAATATAATCATTTAACTCCTCTGATACGTAATATCTATATACACATACATACATACATATATATATATATATGTATCTATATACACATACATAATAATACTAATAATAATAATATCATATATATAATGATTCATATATACATATATAATAAAAGCTACCATGTATTATTAATAATAACAAATACTAATAATACATTCCATAGTAATACACGTGTATACATATACATATATACTCATTACTATATACATATAACCACTCCATCCATTAGTATTAATAATAATATCCATATATATATATATATATAAACCAATGCCCATGAGTCATAATCTTACCCATTTAGGCTCCTATCCAAGTAGTCCATGTGACCTATTTGGTTGGTCTATTATTTTTATCTAAATTCATTCATTTTAAAAATAAAATAAAATAAAACAAAAATAGACAATTAAACATTTAACAAACACATAATTATAAACAAGTATACAATCAAGTCATATAGATTACATAACACAAATACACACAATACACGTTCAATAATTAAATCATTTAAGCACATAGCACATAAACACATAGCCACCAAATCAAATTAAAATGCAAATAAAATAAATTAATTAAATTTTAATTATATCCTTTTAAAAATTAAGGTATTACAACCCCCACACCTTTTATGAAAGGTAAAACTACCTATGATTTATTGTTTCAGGTCAAACCTCATTATTCTCATTTACGAGTATTTGGGTGTCTGTGTTTTGCCTTTACTCAAGCTCAACGTCCCTCCAAATTTGACGCTCATGCTACTCGTTGCATATTTCTTAGTTATCCATATGGCCAAAAGGGGAATCGCATCTATGACATTGTATTTGGTAAAATTTTCACTTCCCGGGATGTCGTTTTTCATGAAGATCAGTTTCTTTTTCGATCACCTTCCGCTGCTGAAAACAATACTGTCATACCCAACATGTTAGACCACCCATCTGATCCTGATCTCGCAATTGAGTTGGCCACTCTTTCCGAGGTAGAAACCTCACCAATTTGTAAGTGATACTCCTTTACCTTTCACAGATTCTGCACTATCCCTTGAACATATGCCAAATTCTTCACCTACTTCTCCACCTCCGGTTACACATTCACCACCTCCACAGCGGCTTACACGTTCCACTCATCCTCCGGGCTACCTTTGAGATTTTCACGTTAGTACCAAACTCCCTTCATGTTCCGGCTTTTCATCAACCTCGGTCGTGGTCGTGGTCAAGTCAATAGGTATTTCTCACCCATTATCCAATTTTCTTTCTGATCGTTTATCATATAAACATCGTACTTTCACCACCTCTCTTCTTCTTCTTCTTCTTCTTCTGTTTTTTTTTTTTTTTTTTTTTTTGCCAAAGAACCACAGACCTTTTTGCAGGTTGTTCAAGATCCTAAGTGGCGTGCTGCCATGCAGAGTGAAATTAATGCTCTTGAAGCGAACCACACTTGGGCACTTCAGCCTCTTTCATGTGGGAAGAAATTAACCTATTGGTTGTAAATGGGTATACAAAATTAAACTTCATCCGGATGGCACAGTGGAACGTTACAAGGCTCGTTTGGTCACCAAAGGCTACAGCCAAGTTGAAGGCCTTGCCTATCGAGAAACTTTTGTCTCCGTTGCCAAATTGGTCACAGTTCGTCTCCTCCTTGCTGTTGCCTCTACCCAAGGATGGCATCTTCATCAACTTGATGTTAATAACGCCTCCTTACATGGCGATCTTTACAAGGATGTATACATGTCTTTGCACGATCAGCAAGAGGAATTTCACTTTCACAACGAAAATATGGCTTGAAATACTAGAAGATGCTGGTTTTCTTGGAGCCAAACCAGCAAGATTCCCTATGGAACAAAATATGACTCACTCAATCAGATGGAGAACTTTTGAAGAACCCTTCCTCATATCAAAGACTGGTTGGTCACCTGATTTATTTAACCGTCACCAGACCAAATTTGGTATATGCAGTACATGTCTTGAGTCAATTCATGGATAAACCACGGGTACCACACCTTAATAAGGCTCATAGAGTTTTGAGATATCTCAAACAAACACCAAGCCAAGGAATTTTTCTATCAGCCACAAGTCCAATCCAACTAAGAGCCTTTAATGATGCAAATTGGGCACATTGCAGGGACACTAGAAAATCAATTACTGGCTATTGCATATTGCTTGGTTAATCACCCGTCTCTTGGAAAACCAAGAAGCAAACAACGGTGGCTCGATCAACTTCCGTGGCAGCAACTTCTTGTGAGATCACTTGGCTTAAATATGTTTTAAATGATCTTGGGATCAAGCATCCACAATCCATCACATTCTACTGTGATAATCAAGCATGATAATCAAGCAGCTCTTCATATTGTTTCGAATCTAGTCTTCCATGAACGAACAAAACACATTGAAATTATTTGTCACTTGGTCCGGTGAGAAACTTCAAGAAGGCATGATACAAACAGCTCATGTTCGAACACTTAATCAGCCAGCAAATTTGTTTACCAAAGCACTGAGTTCATCACAGTTTGAGGCTTTACTTGGCAAGTTGGGTGTCATTAACATACACTCCAACGTAATGGGGAGTGTTAAAGGAAACAAAATTCAAATAACTTAATTTCAGCGATCTCTATAATTATAGAATCGTATATAGTCAACTCTAGTGATTTTATTTTCCATATTTGTGATATATAGATTAGACAATTGGCTTAATTGTAGTCATTATTATAGCATCGTGTTTTCTATCTTCTTGTATAAAAATCATCTTGTATAATTCATTGAGAAATATATCAAAAATACAATTCACATATGTTGTTTCTTCACACTCATCATGCCTAAGATTTATAGGCATCCAAAACCGTCTTCAGCCAAAGGAAAAACCACCGCCTTTGAAGTCAACCATTTACAGCTCGTGTACACCCCATTTCTTGGGCTTTGCTTTTATATTCCCCAGTTACTTGTCTACTTTCATTTGACAGCCCATACATTGCGTACACGTTGAGCGTCATTCTTTTACTTCTAGCACACATAATTTGACTGCCAGCACATTCATTCTCATTGACTTTTCCTTTTACCCATCCAAAGCATGAGTCATCTCATCCAATTACCAAATCCCACATCAGCCAATTACCAAATCCCACATCAAGTAACCAATAGATTTTCGTAGAGGTCGATCTCTAGTGTTCATCACATTGCTGCATATATTTAGTACCCTCTCAATGCCTATATCACTATATTACCTTCGGCAAATACGAGAGTGATACTGGTAGCATGCTCAATACACCTAGTTGTTAGCATGGTGTCGGCTTTCTGGTTTTGTTGTGTTGAAAGGGAAAAAAAGGTTCAACCTTCTGAGTCGTTGTTGAAGGAACCATTCATGAAAGTGTCCTATAAAAGGCTCCTCAAAGCAACTGATGGATTTTCTTCAGCAAATTTGATTGTTGTGGATAGTTATGGTTCTGTCTATAAAGGAATTCTAATCAAGAGGAAAATACTCTTGTTGCAGTCAAAGTATTAAATCTCCTTCGTCGAGGAGCTTCCAAGAGTTTCATGACCGAGTGTGAAGTCCTCAGAAGTATCCAACATAGAAATTTGGTGAAGGTCATAACTTCTTGCTCGAGTATTGATTTTCAAGGCAATGGTTTTAAGGCTCTAGTTTATGAATTCATGCCCAACGGAAGTCTACAACAGTGGTTTCATTCAAGCTCCGAAACAAACAACGGTCAGAGTGAGATTCAGAGCCTAAACCTGCTTCAAAGAATAAACATTGCAATTGATGTGGCTTGCGCACTTGAATATCTTCACCGCCATTGTCAAACACCAATAGTTCATTGTGATCTAAAGCCAAGCAATATCTTCGTTGACAGTGACCTGGTTTCACATGTAGGGGAATTTGGACTAGCACGGTTTTTTCAAAAACCCATAAATCCAAAACAAAGCAGTTTGAAAATAAAGGGAACGGATCGGTCTGCAACCCCAAGTAACAATCTAAACTTTTGTTCTATTTATATATATTTAATAACAGTTGTTTCTTTCAAGTTTACTTTGAAGAGTCATGATACATCGTCAGAAAGTTGAACGCATTCAATTGCATTTATAAGTGCGAGATAACCATGAAGAAAGTCATCATGTCATTCTTCACTCACATAAAATAATTTGAAGCGTCCAACTTTTAGACACTATATCATTTTCCTTACTTTAAAACATCATCAATTGAAGAAACCAAAACTTTTGAAATCAATTAAATTTTGAAATCAAGTTAGAATCTATATCTTGGTTGGTATTTTATGCCACACCAGGACTGCCATACAAAACTGATCAAGTGTGGTTGTTACAGGTAAATTTAACTTGTCTTAATCAAAATTTCGGTTGTTACATTTTCAAATATCAACTTCTTTTTTTCCCCCTTATTTTCTTTATTTTTGTGAATGACAGAATATGGTCTAGGAAGCCAGGTTTCACCAAAAGGGGATGTATATAACTATGGGATTGTTGTACTGGAGATGATGACAGGGAAGAGGCCCATTGACCTTAACCTTCATAAGTTTGCTAGGACGGCTTTACCCGACCATGTTATGCAGATTGTAGACCCAATACTCGTGAATATTGATGAAGAAGAAGCAACAGCATTGCCCAATAGAAATCGGGTTTCGACAGAATCAAGAGCTGACATCAGAAAGAAATGTCTGACATCCATGATCAAGATAGGAGTTGCATGCTCCATGGAGTCACCACAAGATCGAATGGACATTAGTGATGTCGTTCGTGTGCTGAATATGGTCAGGAACAATCTTTGAAGAACTCCGTACAGAGCCTAATGCATAAAGGTAAAAACCAAAACAAAAAACTAATTACATGTCTGTTACTAATGGTGTTTTTGATTTTTGAATAAACTAGTCTTGTCCATTGCCAAACATTGTTCAATTGAAATTCTTTTGGGTAAACATTGTTCAATTGAAATTGATTGCCTATAACTTGAAAACACACCAGCATGTTTTAATTACATATGAATATAGTTACTAAGAACCCACAAGTCATTAAATTATGATGTATTTCTATTTTCCTTGACATTTCTATCTTTTATCTTCTTGTTGCTCAAATATATTACAGAGACATGAAGCTTGAATGCAGTGAAGGACATCCGTAACTCCTGTTTGAGAAGCAAGACGATCTTCTGGACTTCAACTGCATAAAATATTTCATATTCATATTTGTTCTACTTGTATCTTCCTTGCTTCAATTGCATAAAATGTTTCTGGACTTGTTGTACGTCTAAATTCAACATTTCAGTTGATAAAAAATGCCTTTTTATGCAAATTTGTAACTTAAACTGTGTATCTTCTTGTTAGGGCTAACCCAATGCTCTCCTGTCGGTTAGTGAAGAAGGAAATCAAGTTTCACATATATTTTGGGTATAGTGGGACATGATGAGTCTCTAAAGTTTTAACATATTTTTTTTTTTTAAATTCTTTTTCTCCTGGTAAATTAGGGGGAGGGGAACTCAAATAAGGATATACCATTTGAAAAGTTGGGCACTTTACTCATTAGGTGATATTTTTAATTCATTTTTCTCCCTCTTATTAAAAGTGGTAAAACAACTCAAACGTATGTATGTCACCTACAAAATCATTTCTGAAGTGATGATCTACATATTGAAATCCATTCTAAATTGCATTATCATTGAAAAAAATAATGAATTAAAAAAAAAAAAAAAAAAAAGTGCCAAGCTGGAGGACACATTATTGATTATGTAGGCAATCGTCTAAGCCCTGCCAATAGGAAGGTTCCAAATTTTTTTTTTTTTATTTTTATTTCTTTATACTATAAGCTTTCTAAAATTTTTATTTCCTTCTCACTATCAAATTCTAGCCAATAGAAAGGCCCCAAAATTTTTATTAAACTTTTAAAAAAAAATTTTATTTGTTTATTTTATAACCTTCTTAAAATTTTTATTTTCTTCTCATTATTAAACTTGGTCTAATAGAAAAATCCCAATTTTTTTTATTTTATTTTATTTTCTTATATGGACAATACTAGGTCGTGATTCGATGTACACTGTCTTCACTGCTGATGTGGATCAATAAACTCACTGCTGATGTGGATCAACAAAAAATAGATACAAATTGAAATGATTGAAGTTTTTCTATTTGGAATCGTGTTAGGTCTAATTCCTATTACTTTGGCTGGATTATTTGTAACTACATATTTACAATACAGACGTGGTGATCAGTTGGATCTTTGATTAAGTAAAATCTATTTTTTGAAAAGAAGTATAAACATCTTCATATACCAAGTGCTCGCTAATGAGTACTGCATTTTCAGAATTGTAACCTTCCCATGGCATATAAGCTACTAATATATTTTTCCCCAAAGCGAGTTCGCCACCAACTGTAGCGGCACCGTCCGCTAAAATTTGTCCACTCTTGATGAATCGGAAGATAAAAAAGATCTTTCTTATCACTTTGATGAATTATTTGATCATTCTTAGTGCTGGTTTTAGTATTTTTATTACTGTTGGTATCTATTTCGATCCATGCTTCAATATCGACTTAGGCTGGAATGCCAACAGGCGTCTATTATTGAATTCACCCGACCTGATAGTACCCATTTTGGGAACGTCCAGTGCCAAAGTCACAGAATGGGTAAGTCGCCAATCCCTAAAACGGACTATGTAATGTACTTTATCTGCTGGGTTACGGGGGGCATTGTAGTTAGCTCAGCACCAATCAAGAATCCCCAAGGAATTCCAAGAATCTTGTTATACATTCGTTCCAACCCTCAACCCTCTTTTCTAGATTCATCGATATTGAATCAATCGAACGTAAGTCATTTTTAATTACTAAATCAAATATAGTGGCTACATTTTCATTTACCAAATCAGATATAGGAATAGGTATATATATACCATCAGAGCATCTCCAATGGTTGTGTGTATATATATATATATATATTTTGTAAATATGTGTCATAATAGATTTAAACAAAACTTTTGAATTATTTATTTTTATTAAGGGTGACACCTAACTATTACTTATTTATTACTCCATCCGTCCTATAATAAGTGTCACTTTTGGGAAATCGTGACTATCACAAATTGAACTATCATGGTTCCCAGCGACACTCTTTTTTTGGAACGGAGGTAGTATTATTATTATTTTCAACAATACTACCATTGTGATTTTGTCACAACGACCACAAGAAATGAGAGTGTGAAGTGTACCACTCCACGCCTCTATATCTCTTAATGCAATGTCTATTTAACCAAATATCATGTCATATTATGAAAAAAATTAGGAAAAGATTGTTGACAGATCAAGATTCTCTACAGTCTAACAGTTGTCCATTTCCTCCATTTTTTTTAATGAACAGTAGTTACTAAGGTGGATAAAAATGTGTATTTGTCTTATACACAATTTATATATATATACCAGTTTCTTCTCTCCCAAAATATAGGTGCAAAAATTCACTTAACTAAAAAAATTAAAAGAATAAGTACAACTCACTCTAGGTAAAATAACAATTAACAAGAATAATTCAGATCTGTTTGTCCTCCAATTCATTCCATATATAATTCTTTACCTACAAAGTTATTTCCTTCTACAATTCTTTCTATGCCAGTTTTTTTTTTTTTTTTTTTTTTTTTGTAGAACTTCCTTTTATGAAGGATCATTTGATAAGTAGGACTTGGTCAATCTGTATTGAAATTGGGTTAAATACAACTTGGGCCAGATGAGCTTGTTAACGGGCTAAAAGTTTAACATTGGCAACCTTGGGCTGATAGTGACTTAACTTGGGCTTGATTAAGATAGGGCTTCTACAATCCATCGAAGGACTCTTACTGGAGGGGGATTTTTCCCTCCACACTGCCATTTCAGCAACCCAGATCCCCCCAGTTGCTTAGATTTACTCAAAGGTTTCAAAGAGAGAAAGGTAAAGAGATAAAGAGATCATTTTTTTACTTATTATCTTCTTTTTCTTTCAAATCTCGATAATTCTCTTTGATTTGTTTCTAAAACGAATCACACATCTATTTCTCAATTCCTTTATTTCCATAAATTTCTCAGATTTATTTCTTCATTTATTTGTTTTCATAAATTTTTCCTTCATTTTCTTAGTACACTCGGTCATTTTATTCCAAATTAACAGAGCAAATTTTGGATAATGCTTACCTACTCATCGTTGAGTAGTTTCACCCTACTTACCCCTTGTGTGTTCCAATAATAATTTATCACATCAGATTTAATAAAAAAATAATCCACGTTTATTCAATGGTTGATTCGAGAAAATACAGGAAGATGTGAATTATTTTATTATTAAAACTAATATGGTAAATTATTATTGGAACACACAAGGGATGAGTTTGGGTTAAGCTAAGCATTATCCTATTAGAACAGAGCAACATCTGGACTTACCCTATTAGAACAGAGCAACATCTGGACTGGCATGATTTTTTTGTTTAATTATTTGTGTACTGCATAACAGTTTGTAATTTAAGTCAACATCTCATATACTTAACATCCCAACATAATCCTACTTAACATCTCAAGCAATACGTATTTTGTATTCCAAGCCGTACGTACTTTATTTCATACTTATGCTATATGTAAAATCCTAACAAAATTCTACGAAAGAGACTGCCAAGCCGTATGTACTTTATTTCATACTTATGCTATATGTAAAATCCTAACAAAATTCTACGAAAGAGACTGCGAACCAATGATGTTTATGCTCTTTAATCATATAAGAAAAAACAGACCCAAAATCGAGATTTAGATGAACAAAGCTTAGATTTATGGATGATACTCTTGAGTTTCTGCATAATACTCCAGTGAAATTACATGAGTTTTGACGTATTTTGGATACAATATTTAAATACGTTTATATATATATATATATATATATAAAATACAATATCTAAAGTTTTTATATATGAAATATAAGGATAGTAAAAATTTAGTTAACCAATATTTTTAATTAATGTGTTCAATTCTCCTTCACTTATTTCAAATTAGAGAAATGGCCTACTATTTACTGGCGGTGATTTTCCACTTATTATCGACACTCGTAACCGTGTAAACAAAAATTGTGAATGCCAATATCGTGCAAATCAAACATGGAACGAGTCATGGCATAGGGCCTATTTGGGAAGTGTTGTGTGGTGTAATATAATGCTCTAGCCTAGAACAGAACAAGTGTTGTATGGTATAGTATTCTGAAAGGAAAACAAAACATGTTTGGCGACGAAAATTTGCTCTGAAAATTTTGGAATAGAAATTATTAAATTTTTTTTAATGATTAAAATAAATTAATTACTTCACTTGATTAGTTTGCAAAACAAAAATTACAGAGCTTGATTAGTTGATTTATTAGAAACAAACTTGCAGTTGCAGAGAGAGAGAGAGACTAGGGCAATTGGGAGGCTGAAATGATTTGCCCTAAAATTGGATTTGCCGAGTTGAGAACGAGAATAGAGATGGAGGCATTTGGGAGGTTGAAATGATTTGCCCTAAAAAAAATTAAAACAAAACCCATTCATGTTTGCATTTGCAGAGAGAGAGAGAGAGAGAGTATAGAGATGGAGGCGTTTGGAAGGCTGAAATTATTTGCCCTAAAAAAAATTAAAACAAAACCCACTATTGCAGTTGCAGAGAGAAAGAGATCGAGAATAGAGATGGAGGCGTTTGGAAGGCTGAAATTATTTGCCCTAAAAAAAATTAAAACAAAACCCACTATTGCAGTTGCAGAGAGAGAGATCGATAATAGAGATGGAGGCGTTTGGAAGGCTGAAATGATTTGCCCTAAAAAAATTAAAACAAAACCCAAACAAGTTTGCAGTTGCAGAGAGAGATCGAGAATAAAGATTGAGGCGTCTGGGAGGTTGAAATGATTTGCCCTAAAAAAAATTAAAACAAAACCCATACAAGATTGCAGTTGCAGAGAGAGATCGAGAATAGAGATGGAGGCGTTTGGGAGGCTGAAATTATTTGCCCTAAAAAAAATTAAAACAAAACTCATACAAGTTTGCAGTTGCAGAGAGAGAGAGAGATGGAGAATTGCTTAGGGCCCGTTTTGAACTTCTGATCCTTGTAGATTTTGTGTTTGCAGTTGGAGAGAGAGAGAGAGAGAGAGGGAGCAAGTTCTAGAGCTGAGAACGAGAATAGAGACGAAGGCGATTGGGAGGCTGAAATGATTTGCCCTAATAAAATTTTTCTTCTAACCTGCACTACAGTAAAAAAGATGGGCTGGAACAACATAGAACAAAAAATTGTTGTTCCAACTTTTGGGCCAAATTTTGAGCTTGTGGAGCAAGTGTTCTATTACTGTTGAGAACACAATAAGGCGGGCCAAACAACATGGGTTCTGAAATATACTACTGTAGCACTGTAAGGAACACACCACACCACTGCACAAACCAAACATGCCCATAGCTTAGAGCCAACTTTCCAAAATTTGGAGGGCCAAAAGGACGCGGGATACAAGGTGATTGTAAAGTATGAGAGGGAAAGGTTGTCGGCATTTGATAACTTCTTCCCCAAAAAAAATATAAAATTTGATAACTTCTTATATAAATTTGGACAATTTGTGAAAAGGATAAGTATATAAGTTATGTTTAAAGAACATATGCATAAAATAATAATCATAATAATAATAATAATATAAAATATCCATAAAAAATAAAGATAAAAAATCATATAGCATCCAATTCCAACCAGTTGCAAACCTACCTTTCAACTTACAAGAGAATCGTCGTCTTCTCCCTCTAACTCCTCTTTGCTGTTTGCTCCCGTCGACATCACAATCGAACTATGGCGAGCCTCTGGCATTCCATGATGGGCTCGACCCAGCCCCCGGAAGACTACGACGGCGTGGAGTTCTGGTCGAACCCAGAGCGCACTGGTTGGCTAACCAAGCAAGGCGAGTACATCAAGACCTGGCGTCGCCGCTGGTTCGTCCTCAAACAAGGCAAGCTCTTCTGGTTCAAACAGTCCACCATCACCGCCGTATCCAGGCCACGTGGCGTCATCCCAGTGGCCACCTGCCTCACCGTCAAAGGCGCCGAGGACGTCCTCAACAAACAGTTTGCTTTCGAGCTCTCCACTAACTCCGAAACCATGTACTTCATCGCCGATTCGGAGAAAGAGAAGGAGGACTGGATCAATTCAATCGGACGGTCCATCGTTCAGCATTCGAGATCCGTCACTGATAACGAAGTCGTCGATTATCAATAGAAATTGAGATCGACGGTTCTGGTTCGTTCGATTCGGTCAGTGTTTCCTGTAAAATTAGGTATGTTCTTTTCTTTTCTAATCTTATTTCGTCTTGTAAGATTACCCTGTTTTTTGTTATTATCATATCTTAAATGACTAAAATTTCGTTTCTTTCCTTTATTGTGAGGGATTGTGTTGTTGAATTGAAGACCTTGTAGGGTTTTTCAATTTCTGATCTCCAACTGTTGGAAGATCAAGGATTTGTGTAAATTGCAGATTTTGATTTGTTTAGCAGCTGTATGGTGAATATTGCTAATTTGATGTTATAGTCCCTTTGCATTTGTTGTACCAAGAGAGTGAATGTCGAATTTTGGGTTCTATTCGTGCCGAGAATGGTTTTTGAGGCAAAAAGGACTGAAATACTCTGTGACTAATTTTACTTTTTCAATAAAATTTAAGAAACCATATTCATCTTAATAAACATCCTAGGTTTTATCATAAAGTTACTCGTTAAGTTAATTGAAACCTATGTTTTTCATGGTTCTAGATATTGACATGATACAGTAAGCAAATCTAGAGATGTTGGGATTGTTCTTCTAATTAAAGAAGGGAAACATTCTAATGGTTTATTCAAGGTTGAAATCTCCGGAGCAGTGAGTTTTGGAGGTGGATCTGGAGGTGTTCTTGTAGATGTTCAACATGTTCTTCAGAAAATACTGAAATGGGGAGGATATTTTGAGGCGGAAGAAGTTGGAAAATGGTATATTATTGAAAGTCATGGGCAGATTTGTTGTTGGGGTTCTTTCTTTCCCTGGAAAGGGATATTTGTGTTGAATGCTTGAAGATGACCTTTATTTTCTGGACAATGTTCAGCAAGATAGATAACTTTATACAGTGTGCAAAGCTTCAGTGGAAAGTGTTAATTACTTGATTGTGAGGTTTCTGGGAAATGGTGCCACATTTTGTTGCAATTTTGGATCCCTAGCTTGATTTGGGGTTCAATTAGATAGCCGTTGGGCAGTTAGTGAGCGGGTTGACAATAGGAGGAATAAAAAGGCCTGGCAAGGTCTCCTTTATGTGCAATGTGTAGCATTTGAAGGGAGAGAAATCAACAAACCTTTAAGGGATTGGAACTCCCTGGACATAATTTAGAAGGCATAATTTTGAATTTTTCTTTGGCTTCCTAAACGCTCTGCTTTCTTGAGTTCATGTTGGTGATAAATGTCTAAGTAAATTGGAGGTACGCTCATACGTGTCTCAACTCTCATGTACATGATTGCAGCTTCCTTTTATTTTGGTCCCTTTGGTACATGCATACGTTTGTACAAAAGAAATCAATAAGGAGCCAACTTGAAGTTTACATTAATATAAAGGAGGCATGGCTAGGGATTTTAATCAGATTATTTATGATGTGACTGACTACATGTGAAGTATAGAATGATAAAACTCGCAAAATCACTAATGTTGTGTTCGGCTGTATGAAATTGAAATTGGTGGAATTGGAGAAAAGTTTAGTTCAAAGTTACAGAAAATTCAACTAAAATTTTCTTCAATTCTACCAATTCCAATCCCAAACCCCCCCAATTATATGCAGCCGAACATAGCCTAAAGGTTTTCAAAGATTCCACCTTCTTGGCTGAATCATCTGTAGAAAACTAGAAATAAAAGACAATTATAATGTATAAAACTCATCGTCTCTACCTTATTATGCCATATCCTATATTAAACTTGGGTCCTGTTTGGATTGGCTTTTAAAAAGCCGCTTTTGGCTTTTAGAGTCAAAAAGCTTATCTTTTGAGTGTTTGGATGAATTAGGCAAAATAGCTTTTGGCTCTAGAAGAGCGTTTAGATGAAGCTGGTATGACCTAGCTTCTGTAGGAAGAGATGCGGGAAGCTTTTTCGGAGATTTAATGAATATTTCATATTACCAACCGTACTCCTCATAACTCAAAGTAAAGAAATAAAGTTCCAATTGTATCCTACAACATCATCATTCTCCTCTTACCCCTCTCGCTGCAACTGACGTTCACGACACAGGCATCTCGCTCAAATTAGGTTTCTTTCATCTTCACTTCTTTTTCTGTATCTCTGGAATATGTTTGTAGCTATATATTGATATACATATGTACACACACGAACACCCCTTTTCAATAAAACTATGTGAATTCATTGGATCACAGTCTTGTTCGTGATTTATGCTCCACCTTCGGCAAAAAGGGTGATCTACAACGAGCTGAGTTTGTTTGAATTGGGGCACTTAACCATGAATTTACTAGTTAGGGTTTGGGTTTCCAGTTGACAAAATCATGAAATTGGCCATGGAAATAATTTCCAACTTAAAAATATTTAGGCAAGAAGCAGGAGAGCAATCCAAGAACTGTTGGGTTTTGCTGAGTCTTTCTTCTTTGGCTCTCTGTTTGGTGTTTCTCTCTCTGTCATTTTAATGGGTACTAGTGCTCTTCAATTTCATTTTATTCTTTGGCTCTCTGTTTGGTGTTTCTCTCTCTCTCTGTTCGAGTCTCTTGAAAGATGAGCTTCAAATGACTGTAAACAACTTGTGTGTGACACAGCTTGGTGTATTTGTTTACGTGAGTAAGTGATTGATTTGCTGTAGGTTGTATACCGAGGTTGTAAAAATCGTCACTGTGAGTGAAGAGAAGGAAAGGGTGAGGAACCTAAAGTGTGTTTCTTTTCAATCATAGTGATTTTTTTTTTTAAGTCTAAAGGCTCTTTGGATGTTTCCCTGTTCCATGTCAATCAATATTTTTTTTCTTCTGATTCATAACTAGTTGCGAAACAGAACTAAAATTTTGATTAAACCAATTCACCCTCTAATGGTCTCTTCAAATACTTGTGTATCTCTGAACCTTCAAATTGAAATTGGTCTTCAAATACTTGTGTATCTCCGAACCTTCAAATTGAAAAATGGAGAGGACTTTTGGATTAAAAAACATAATTATTTTGTTATTGTCTTATAGTTCAAAACAAAAACAAAAAACAATTCATCTAAGGACAAAATAGTTATTTTAGTATTGGAAGAGCTTCAACAAATATTTTACCAAACAAATAAAATAGCTCTTCTGGCATAAAAAACTCTTTTAAAGTATAGTTTCCAAACACTAACATAAGCTAAATGGAAGTCATAACTTCTGCTTCTCTTTTTCTTTTGCGTAAAAGCAGAAGCAAAAGCTCTGCCAAACGAGGCCTTAATACCATAACCCCATTGGCCTCGATAGATTGCTATACTAATATTTATTCTTAGAAAGATCAAATCTTCTTGAAACTTATGGAATTTATACTCAAATCCTATCCTTATTTCAGACATTATATTAGGAATCTCTTACATAAGACTTGTCAAAAAAGGAATCTCTTATCTTTATCTAGGAGCATGGATCTGAACAATAAAAATATCTTTCTTATAGTTGTTCTAACAGGTTGTTTAGAATCTTTAGTTTTTCTAAAAAAGTTGACATTATTTCTACTTCCATGCAGGATTTGTAAGCCTAGCATTTTATTTCATAGCTACATGAAGAATTATCAAACTACATCAAGGCCATTCTAATTCCCGTGCATTAGCTTATAATGGTAAAAGAGGGTAACAGGAAGTTTAATAAGAATTTAGATCTTTAGACAACTGAGCCCTTTGCTTCCCAACTTGTGATTTTGAATTCCTCGTGATAGTTGGGTGCCAAATATCTAGTTCAATGGGTTGGTTTGGGGTACTAAGACCAGTGTCTTGTTGTTTGCACCCATTGGATAAACCATGATACATTTGGTTTGCTCCCTTTATGCTTGGATGTTACGATTAAAGTTACTCCTCCATATGGACTAAGCCCATTGTTTTCGATTAATACGCAAGATTGTCACACATTCTTAGTCCCGTCATCGTAGTTAGTTTTAGATTAAATGACAACAGCAGTGCAGTTCATACTAGTTGGGGTTTCTAAGGCTACCTCTGTTCTTGATACCCTAGACATTTCTTACTTGTATCATAGGCCACCTGACATTATATCTGATTGATGCAGGAAGAGGAGAGAGAGAAGAAAAGAAGGGAAGAAAGGAAGAGAAGAATGGGAGAGTGGAAGAAGATGACGGTACAAAGAGAAAAAGGAAGTTCTAGAGAGGAAGATCTATAATCTTATTAATCCTCCCAAATAATAATAACTCGGTGTTGTTACTCGAAGACTTTGTATATCCATGCATTTTTGTTTTCTCTTTTAATAAACTTTGTATATATATAGAAGGGTGAAAATTTGAAATAAAATAGGGCTGAGACTGGCTGACTCGAAATTAAACTCTAGTTCTAAGTTTTTGACCTTTAAATTTATTTATCATCGTTTGTAATGAACCAACCTCTGGGTTCTAGCAATGAGTTGAAGCCAAAATGATAGCTCCATTGTCTTCTTCCTCTGCCTCCTCTTCATGGATGTGATTTTTAGTAACAGATGTTCTTTGCCAGCTAGTTGCATCTTGATACACATCTCCGTGGATAATACAACTGTAAATATCCCCTTGTGGATGCCTCTCCTGCTGTTTCATAATTCACATTTGTGTTCAAGAGGATAGAAATTATTCAAACACCAAATGCAGCATGCTTAATTTCCACTTTCCGTACTTTTAACCTATAGGAAAAAGAAAACAAGAGGGAAGATTAGTGATTTTCTTACCCGGAGGTTACAAATCCTTCAGAACCTTGATTGTGCAATTGTACTGATTTGTCCACCAATGTGCATTTAGCTCCTCTCTCCAAATTAGAAAATGTCCTAGTATAAGATATTGACGATCCCTCGTGGGTTCCTTTGTTTTTCGTTTGATTGTGACGTGTTGCCTTGCCTAGTGGTTAGGGTTCATTTCCTTATTGTGACAGTAGTGTGTTTGTCGGCTATGTTCTATCACAAAAAAAATAAAATTAAAAAATAATAAGAAAAAAATAAATAAATAAGAATGCGGTACCTAATAGAAGGAACCACCCATCTAGTGTTGGGTGTTTAGGAGCTCCTGAATTTGTTAATCATGATGAATATTCATAACAGATATCACTGATAAGTTCCTGATTAGATCAGAATCCAATTTTCTTTTATTTTTTCTTCCCTTGGCAAGAAAGACTCGTTTTTTCTTCCCTTGGCAAGAAAGACTCGAACCCTTGGAGGTTTAGAAAGTACCAGTGTGTATAACCCGAGTCAGATTTTAAAAGTAAGAAATGGAACCATATATATCTCCAGGAAACATAACGCCCATATTCAGTCATTTTGTTGTCATTATGGAGCTACGAGTTCCATGATATTTGTCAGGATCGAGGTGCAAGCATTCAGGAAGAAAGTGTTTCACTACCAACTCATTCATTTTCTACTTCAAATACGACTAATGGACATTGCTACTGAGAGACATACACATCCTCTGATATGAGACTCATACAGATTTAAAATAACATGACTTTAAGGAGGTAGATTAATGAATACACGAGTCTCTTTCTCTATTGTGATTGTGGCTGAGCCAAATAGCTTTCCATCCTCACCATAATGCCATCAATTGCATGCACGTATCCAACTTTCTGGCCCTGGTTTTTCTCCTCTGGCTCACTCACTGGTACAGCCCCATTCTCTACTGCCTTCTGCTCCTACCAACCACAATAAAATTAGATTATCAGAAGGGTGCGGTTCATCCAATGTCTTCAAAACATGTATAGTCACACAACCATCGATTTTATGTCCTGAATTAGACGGTCCAAATTAGAGTAAGACGATCCACCTTCACTTACAGCTCGATTGGCCATCTTTGCCATCTGATCCGCTTGTTGCTGGAACTCATCCTTTCTCACTTCCATCAGGTCTCTAACCATCTTCTCAACCACGACTCGATCACACGTATCTTTCATGACCAAACCAAGCTTCCAAACCTCACTCACTAACCTACTATTAACCATTTGTTCTGCAAAGTAAGGCCAACAAATCATGGGTACTCCAGCAGTTATACTCTCCATAGTTGAATTCCACCCACTCTGGGTCAGAAATCCACCAAAAGCAGGGTGTGCCAACACCTCTTCCTGTGGGGCCCAACCCACCATGAACCCTCTTTGCCTTGTACCCTCCTCCAGCTCCACCGGAATCTGACTCTCTCCATCTTTGCCGGCAGCAATGAAGTCCGGCCTTATGACCCACAAGAACCACTTCCCACTATTCACCAAACCGTACCAGAACTCCATGTACTGCTCCCTTGTCATTACAGTGACACTTCCGAAGCTCGCGTAGATGACAGACTTGGACGGCTGCGAATCAAGCCACGTCAAGCATTTCCGGTCTTCTTCCAAGAAACTGCCAAAGTCGGTTGAGGAGGAGGATGCTGTCGTCTTGGCCGTGAGTCTGGTTCTCAGGTGAGCGTTCAATGGTCCGATGGTGTATATGTTGGGGAAGTGAGTGCGCAAATGAGAGAGTATGGATCCTTCTAAATTGTCAAAGGTGTTGATTATGAGGGCTTGCGCCTGAAGTTTTTTTCTGCAGACAGTCTTCATGACTTGGAGATGCTGGTCGTTGGTATCGCCGGCACGGTAAAAACTTGGGAGATCACGCCGCCGGAGAAAACCTTCCATGCCCGGGACACTATGTACAAGTAAGTCCATGCCATTTCCTCAACGCATAATAAGAGCAGCATGTGATCGAGTGGTTACTTAGTAGCTGAAAAAGAGAGTTCTTTTCTTTTAGATCATTAGTTTTCTCATTAAAGAAAACAAGAGTAGGAGAACATGCCTTTCAAGGGAATTTCATCTGCTTCAATGAGTTGGGGAATACGGAAAAAAGGCTACAGGCTGCCAGCGCCGATGACTGTTAAATAAATGAATGGTATTCCCTTTTCTAAAGCAAAATCACCTGCAAAACTCAGGATCCCGTCTGCTATGATGCATGTCAGGGGCCTTCGAGTTTCAGAGCCCAGGTAATTAGTGGATATCATCAACTCTCTAAAAAGTGGTTCTATTATGTTCGGAGGCGTAAGTTCCACAACTCGTTCACCAACACGCGGATGGTCTTCGGGAAGGCCATCCGGTATGGTCTTGAAGCAAAATGCAGGATGGAGAAGGGAGCGAGATTGGAATTTGCTGTGGCGTTGGAGGCGACTGTGGTAGTACTCGGAGATGAGCATGGTGACATGGAGGTCATGAAGGCAGAGAAGCTGGGCTAGCTTGAGCATGGGGGTCACATGGCCATGCATCGGCACAGGAAATAGGAGTATGTGAGGCGGGAGTGTTTCTTGTTGGTGATCCATCTAATGGTTTTGGATACTCCAAGGCAGAAACACATACAAAGTCCACCTAGACTCGTGTATATATATGGTTTGTGGTGTGATAGAGCTTGATGGGTGAATTATTGGTGCCCATTGTACATCTTCGTGGTTCAATAATTGATCTTTTCCTTCAATTATTTTGATAGTGTTGTAAATATATGAGTACGTGGCGTTCACTTGGTGGTGTATACGTAACAATCATTTTTTTTGGAAAATTATACCTAACAATCATGATAATAGTGGACCTAGTGGTAGACAAAGTTGCAGAATAATGGGTAATTAGGTTTTGGCTTCTTGCAATCTATATTGGGTATGTAATATATAATTTTATATTATATTATTATATGGCCTACCACCATTATAAAAATTGGGCTATAAATTCAACGAAGATTGTATTGCTCCTAGTATTAATGAATAAGAGCTAAAGCATTCCTCCTCCTCTCTTTTGTCTCTGTTATCTTTTATAACTCCTTGCTTTTATGTTTAGATTTATAATAAATACGAATTTTTAATCTAACTGAGATTTGAAAGAGAAATTCTCACTCTTCCTCTTTATATCAAGTCATATATCTTAATTGTGATATTGATTTTAATAAATTGTTGGGTTTGTTTGCTTTGCCGAAACAAATTTACTTCTCACTCCAAAAGGATAAGCACTTCTTATATTAATGTCATTCAATATTTAAGTGAGATATCTGCATATTTATAAGGATAGGTTCTACCATCTTTAATATTTTTTATTTAATAATTTATCTCGTACTTATGAGTTAAACGTCCTTATTATATTTATTAATTATATCTAGTTACCGCCCTTATTATATTTATTAGTTATATCTAGTTACCGCCCTTGTTATATTTATTCTCTATATCTGGTATAGCTGGTTTATGATTTAATCACCCTTATTATTTAAAATCTTGAATCTGGTTGGTTTATAATTTAACCGCCCTTATTCTATTTTCTATATATGGTTTCACCATTTTTTTTATCTACACATAAATTAACTAGTAGTCTAGTACTGAACATTATTATTATTATATATACTCATAATATGTAAGTTTACACACATGGAAGGATCATTTTTTTTTTTAATAAGAATTCATAATTAAAGAAAAATAAAATAAAATTGTGACAGTAGCGGTGGGACAACTAATGTGTAAATTAATCGTTATTATGAAAAGTAGGTATATTACTAGTTAGAGTTGATTAATTTCATTTCTGTTCCTAACTTTTCAAAATGATGAGTAATTTTTTATGTTTAAATTTTTTGTTGAATGTGCCATGTGTCATTGACTGTCGTCCTTTTTCCACATATAATTCAATATGAGGTTCGATCACTTCTTTCTGTCTCTCTCTCTCTGTGCGTGCGTGTGTGTGGGGGGGGGGGGGGGTGTTTTAATTCAATTAAAGAACGATTTTAAAGTTAAGATAAAAAATATATTAAATTTCTTGTTGAAGTAGTATCACCAGTTAATTGAATTTTTAAAGATATAGCCGTCATTTACATGTAGTCTAATGGTGCGTGTATTTGGATAGATTCTTATAACATGTCAAAATTTATTGTATAATCATTACATATGGAGTCCATTAGGTACGTATTCACTCATTAAAGCTATTAGTGTATGAGAATCCAAGAATTATATTCCTAACGGCTAAGGATCCTAGCACACACCGAAGTCATTCTTGGCTATAAATATGGAGTACTTAGAATTCGTGAAGTATGACTGAGATTTGATCGAATGTTTACTTTAAGAATCAAACCATGCACTTAAATTTAATTATTAATTACCAAGTCACTTGTGATTAGTTATAACTATGATACTATCACCATCTTGGACAATTTTTACAAGTAATCAAATAAAATACAAATTATTTATATGATAACCATTGGGATTTTATTATACTTAGTCTTTTAATTAAATTGTTATATACACCATAGTGATCATGGTACTTCAATTTTATATTATGTTATTCTTAATATTATGTTTTTGTATCATGTTTTATATCTTGATACATGTCACACGTGACAAAGGCTTGATTATGTTATCTGGGCACAATTATTTTTGATGAGATCCATTTTATGGATATTGAAATTAAATTCAACATCCTTGGGACTGCATCTAGTTTCTGATAACTTAAAAATTGAATATCTCATGGTGAAAGACCCACTTATTTTATGGTAAAAAAAAAAAAATTAAATAAAAATAAATAAATAAATAAATAAAAATTATTTATATGTTGAGATGACAAATATAATTATTGAAATTATTGACAAATATAATTCGGCCTTATTTATAATCAGTTATATTGAGATGATGTAGAGAAATAATTACTGATCATGAGTATATGTTGAAAAGAATAACAGTTATCACGTCGAGTGTGTAGATTTATGAAATATTTGATGTGGAGAAAATATTACTGAAGGTCATATATTGACAAAGAAATACTCTACTGATCACGCTGAATGCGTGGATTTATGTGCAGTTGATATCAAGTCTGATTATGACAGAATAAAATTATGAGCTTTTATTGTGATATTACCAGTCCCACTAGATCGAAAATGATTCCTAAAGTGAAATCTGCTCATTTCACAATCATGGACATGGTAGTGGATATAGGCATGGTAGAATTAACTATCAACGCCGTGGAAGTTATTAGTATAATTTCACATTGTATCCCTAAAGGTGGGATCAAAATAATATGAAACAAGCAAAGGGGTCGAAAAACTTTGTTCTCTTATGCATATAATTATATCACCAAAAACATATTTTATATTCACAGTATTTCATTTGTTAAAAGTCTTCTATTATCTATTTATGAAATATGTTGATCCCCTGACATAAGATGTCTTTATTGCATGATGTGTTGATTATTATTTGAAAAAGATTGTTTTTTCACATTGAGGGGGAGAAAATGTAAAATCAGAAATGCCAAATGATATTATTTGGAATGCTTTGAAATTATTTATTTGATCCTTGTACAAAGAAATATGAACAACTGTAAATGTCCACGTGTGGATGCCTCTCCTGCTGTTTCATAATTCGCATTTGTGTTCAAGAGGATATAAGTTATTCAAATGCCAAATGCAGCATGCTTATTTTCCACTTTCCTTACTTTTAACCTAAAGGAAAAAGAAAACGAGAGGAAAGATTAGTGATTTTCTTACCAGGAGGTTACAAATCCTTCAGAACCTTTATTGTGCAATTGTATTGGTTTGTCCACCAATGTGCATTTAGCTCCTCTCTCCAAATCAGAAAATGTTCTAAAGGTATAAGATATTGACGATCCCTCGTGGGTTCCTTTGTTTTTCGTTCGATTGTGACGTGTTTACCCAAATTTTTTTTTTTGGGTAAGTCAATTTATTCAAATAAAAGAAACAATGCAGGCTACCAAAAGGCAGCCCAAACACAGCAAAAAAGAAAAAATAAATAAAAAAAATAAAAAAATAAAGGCACTAAGGCCCAACAAAGCCTGAAGGCACTAACAACCTCCACAACAAACAGAGGCAACACGAAGGTGAAATACACAGAGAACAAAACAAAGAGCAATGCTCAATCAACAGCACTATCACTGCCAATAACCAGACTAGGAAGTCTCCAATCAGCCGCCACAGTCCGAGAAATCCTAGAATCTTTGAACCTCAAGGAGAGAAGCCAGCCGCGAATGCAGTCCTCAGTAAGCTTCCAAACAACATGAGGAGCAGATGACTTACCTACATAGGTCCGTTTGTTCCTTTCCTTCCATATAAAGTAGATCGATAGTCGTAGAGAAGCACAGTCTAGCAGCTACAGCATCCATCGAGTTACACTTGTCATTCCAAACATTGTCAATCCATCTTGCTATGAAAGTAAGACTACGCTCACCACAATAGAAACCACAAGTATGCTGAACATAATTCCATATATAAGAGGAATAACTGCATTTAAAGAACAAATGCTCATGCGTTTCATTTTCACTTCGACACAGAATGCATAGGTTTGAATCATCCCTATGACCTGTAGAGAATTTGTCTTTAGTATAAAGCCTGTTGTGAAGAGTGAGCCAAGTAATAAATGCATGTCTTGGGATGTTTTTGCCTTGCCTAGTGGTTAGGTTTCATTTCCTTATTGTGATAGTAGTGTGTTTGTTGGCTGTGTTCTATCACTATAAAAAAAATAATAATAATAAGAAAAAAAAAATTAAAAAATAAGAATGCAGTACCTAATAGAAGGAACCACCCATCTAGTGTTGGGTGTTTAGGAGCTCCTGGATTTGTTAATCATGATGAATATTCATAACAGATATCACTGATAAGTTCTTGATTAGATCAGAATCCAATTTTCTTTTATTTTCTCTTCCCCTGGCAAAGAAACATACCTAACGGGACTCGAACCCTTGGAGGTTTAGAAGATACCAATGTGTATAATCCAAGACGCCCATATTCAGTCATTTTGTTGTCATTATGAAGCTACGAGTTCCATAATATTTGTCAGGATCGTGGTGCAAGCATTCAGGAATAAAGTGTTTCACTACCAACCAGTGGCGTAGCCACAGAGGGACAAGTGGGGGCAGTTGCCCCCCACTGAACTTTTAATTTTTTAAAATTTTATATGGAAATTTTTTTATATTTGTATATTTGTCCCCTCTAAAATTTGACAATCCGCGCGCGCGCGTGTGTGTGTATAACCAAAAGCCTCTAAAATTTGACAGTGCACGTATATATACTATATATATATAACTAAAATCTCATTCACGGTTATCTATCAGATGATATAATTTTTTTTTTCACTTTCCCAAAATATTATATTCTTTTCCACTTTCCAAAAAATAATAATAATTTTATCAAGATATTCTATCATACTTTTGACTTTAAACAAACAAATAGATTATTTTCATTACATCTCCAGTCTTCAAACATTTTTCACAATCCAAACAAAGTAAGCGGAATTACCAGTAGACAGAGACTCAATGTAGTGCAACAGACAGGTCATCTGATATATATTTT